GCCAAACTTTTGCCCAAATCCCATTTCCCAGCCATTTTTGTTCTCGCCCAAATCCCAGCTTATTCCCATTTTTTTGTGATTACCAGTCCCAGTGCCCTGAATCTAATTTTTCCAACAAAAAAAGATAGGCAAATCCCAGTTTCCATTTTACTCCTTGGGACTCTCATTGAATTCAAGTTGTGATAGAACTGAGTTTTTTGCCCACCAGATTTATACTCAGTGTGCTGTAAAGTTCGGAATGAAACGGCTCTTTCCATTTATATTTCCAAGATTATCGACTCTCTGAGAATAACGACCCTCCAAAAGAGGGGACTTCAATTGTAATTCGACTTTGGAAAATAGCAATAATGTGAAATCCAAAGTACAGTATATCAATAATTTCGTCCTAAAGAAGACATTCTCTGTTCTCGATTTAGCATCGAGTATACACAACAGCTCAGATTATGTCCTTGTTTATACTACAAGAGGAGCAACCAGATCTAACATTTGAGATATTTCTGTTCAACTGAGTGCAAAATGCTTGAATGAACATCTGACTACCTCTGTAAATGTAACAATGTGATTTCTCTGCCGCCTCATAAAACATCGTATAAGAACATAATACAAAAGTTAATTTTCATCCTCAAGCCATAAAAAATAACATTTAATCTCACGTGACATAAACCACCCTCGACAAATGATTCTACATGACACAAAAAATAAATCAAAATAAATGGGTCTACCTTCACGAAAGCAAATTTCTTTCTCAAGCAGCTTGAAACGGGATAATTAAAATCTTATGGATGTGCAACATCGATGCTTAAAGGCTCTGGGAACCGTTTCTCGAAGGTCTTAAGCTGACTGAAACGTTTTAGCACTCGAAAAGCATTAGCAAACTCTCAAACCTTATAATTTCAGAGCCGTTTTATTCACATATTCTTAATCTGAACTGAGGTTCTCTGCTTTTCGAAAAAGACTGACTAAAAATGGCTTCGCGGGCCTAAAATGTTTCCGTGTCTTTCGAGAAACGGACCCCTGGCCTTGCGTAATAATGAGACACCGAATACAAAACGCAGACAAACATTAAATACAAACCAAGATACAGTTTACACAGCTTCAACAGTAAATTCGCGGGATATTCGTTGTAGTTATTGCCATTTTTAAAATGAACCAGATTCTGACATTGCAATATTCTCAATAAACGCTTGTCAGTGACTCGGAATGGCATGTGACCTCTGAAGTGTACCTCTGTTTAAATGCAGTGTAAAAAGAGACGTTACATTCGTTGATTTAGCTGTGGGGGTTTAATGTGCTTCATTAAAACTGTTTATATACCGCAATGATAATATTTTCTTACACTTTAGGGTCATTTATCTTGAGACAGATGCGTGTCATTCTTAAACGCTTAACTTTTATCAACTTTCTTTGAAAACTGAAAGAGAGAAAATTTGTCGCTCAATTGTCCCGTCGACTCACGTCGTGATCATGAACTGGGGCTTGCCTTTACTCATCTTAACTCTGCTGCAAGCTCTGCTTGTGCAAAGGTGAGTAAAACCAAATATCATTTTGACGAATTTTCGGGCCATTTTTAGCAGAATAGGTTTTAAAATTATCGTTTTAAAATACTTTTTTGTGCGTATGTTAATGCTTTTTAAAATGAGTATTAATGAAATTGAACCACGCTTTGGCCTAAAATCCAGGTAGGGATTTTTTTGGAGAGTATTCAGTGATTCTTGTACTGCTCTTATCCTCAAACGGAGCTGTTTGAAACTGTTGAAAAATGAATTATTAAAGAAATTATATTAACTGAAAATGGAAAGTACACCATCAAAACTGATTGCACTGACCCAACGCCGAGTTCTTTCGAGTCAATTTGGTCGTGGAAGAAGAAATCCAAACTATATGAAATTTAAATTTCCTATAGCATTTTGCGATTGTGAAATTCGTAAATCGTAAACAATTTACACAAAACGGTCTTGACACAGTCAAGAGGGGAGATTATTGAAATGCAGGCGTACCTGATCGAACCATTGCAGTCATCAAAACGTTTCAAATTCTAAAATTACTAATGATCTTCGAGAATACTCTTTCGTTAAAATTTCTTAGTTATTTTATACAATTTTTATTGATCATTTTAATTCCCAGTGATAAGGTTATCCGTGTGACTCCTGAAGTGGAGGCTCATCTTGCATTTTTGCGAGGACTGGAAAAACGTAGCGACATCAAGGTGAACACAGACTAGGTAGCTAATAGCGGCGCTAAACCGCTGATTAATTAAAAGACTT